GCTTACTGTATAACCTGAAGATGACAGTGAGAAGATTGGAGGAAAAGAAATCTTTGGTACATAGTTCTTTCGTATTTTTCTGGAATACAGTGGTTCACTTTTGCCACAGTGTGTGTTACACTTGTGATTTCTTTAGATCCTATTTGAAACCAATGAGGGGAGTAACACAAGTGGGTACAAAGAAAGAGGGGGTACCCCTGTGAGCACTGTATCACCCAGACTCTCAGTGACCACTGAGCTGCAGGAGTCATTGGTTTGTGGAGATAGACGTGGAAGATGTGTCAGAAATGATTGGCTAATATAAAAGTTTAAGTTCATTCTCAGCACCTGAGAATGAATTCTTTTAAACTTTTAAATAAAAGGGGGTTAGATTCATTACAGAAAAGTATTCTTAATGTGTTTTCTAAGGAGGGGAGAAGGGATGGAACTGATTTGCTGGGAAGCATGCTGAGAAAGCGTCCAGGGTACCAACGTGTGAAAGAGGGGAACTGTCTCTGGCGTAGACTGTGGCTCGTCCTTTAGTAGCAGGAGAAATGAGGGTAGGCAGCAAAGCCTGGGCGTTGGTGTCAAGGGTGTAAATTTGCCCCTGGGTTCCAGTTTCCCTCGTGTGTGTGTGTTACCGCCTTCCTCCGCAGTGCTGGTCTGGCTCTCCATTATGGATGACTGTGCCATTAACTGTTGAGGGAACGATACATTAAGAGTAAAGAGTCTGGATCCAGACTTCCTGGGTTCAGATACCAGCTTCACCTCTGAGGCAACTGACTTAGCTTCTCAATTTCTTCATTTGTAAAACAGGGATAATATTACTGTTTGCCTTCATGGGGTTCTTGAGAGGCTCATATGAGTTAATGGCAAGTGAAGTCATTACACTCTCAGGCACACAGTAAGCACTCAGTGTCTGTTAGTTATTATTATATTATGTGACCCTATTTAATTTTTTAAAAAATAATTTCATCCTCTCTCCATAACCCATGTAGAGAGAATAGACATTTAACTGGATGAGTGAGTGGATAGTGATTTGCACTGTGTCTTTAGAATTATTGATTGATCGGTAATGTAAACGCATCTTGGTTTGTGGGTTCGTTTCTAAGATAAGGCCATGTAGGCACAGCACTGATTAAATTGCATCCACGCATGCTCCTCCCACCTCATCTCAGACATGGTCCTTAATCTTTCTAATAAACCATTTTCTTTCCTGGGACTCAGGGAAAGGATTGTGTTTTACATCGTGAGAAAGAACACACAACACACACATAAATGAAACAGTTACTTTATGGAACAGTAGTTGTACCAAATGCAGGGAGTCTTGCTTTCTGTTTTGTTCTCTTGTTTCATTTTTGTAAAAGCACTGCTTGCTGTGCATTGAAATTATTTCACAACCCACTAATGAACCACCCTACAGTTTGAAAAACACCATGTTAAACCAGTTTGCCTCTTGTCCAGAACCAAAGTGAGGATACCTTTGATTATAACCAGTGTTCCTTTCCTTTTCATTCTCTTTCCTCACTTCCCTTGATGGTGGAACCTGGGATTCAGCAGCTTTAAACACACACACACACACTCACACACTCACACACACTCTTAAGTGCCACCAACCTATTTAATAAGGTCAGAGTTTGTGTGGTCATTTAAAGGGATTTTAAATATTACTACATTTCAGATTCACTTTTAGTACATTTGTAATATTAAAAATGAATAAAAGCTCATATCAGTATAAGATAGAATCCAATAATCATTTTCAGGAAACAGTTTAAGGTTTAGGTATTATAGTAGTAACAAATTTTTCAGATTATGATACCTGACTTCCCCTCTGCCTCCCTCCTCAGTTAAATAAGGCGATAAGAGTGCCATGCAGAAAAGTGCCTTTGTTGGTAGATCAGAACTCTGGACAGCTTTGGTATCCTGAGCTTGTCCGTAGACTTCAGTGTGTTCCTTCTTTGGCCAGCACCGTTTGTTGGGGACACTTACTGCCTAGAGCTGTTCATGCTCTGTGACCATGAAGCTGAGCCCTGACTCTGTTCTCATCAACTGAGTCACCAGCCAAACCAAATAACGACTTCTTTAAAAAGCTGACAACCAAATCCTGACCAAGTTTACCACACAAGACCTTCCCAGATTATGAACACTTGATCTGCACACATTCCAGTCCCACACACCACCAGTTGCACATTGCCTTTGGTCAGCCTCCCACACCCCCTGCTCCACACAGCCGGCTTCTGTGCTGGCTTCAGTGCTGTGTCTAATCCAACCCCTTTTCCATCGAACTGGTAGAACTCTGAATATTACATTCTCTTCTTTTCCTGCCCTCCTCCGCCTTTCAGGTTGTAGTCTTTGTTAATTCCATATATACTTCTTTGCCGTATTTTCCCCGTATTTCAAGTCAATCCTTTTCTTTGAGCTTTCTTTCTCTCTTCCCTCTTTGTTCAGTTTTGGAGAGCCCCCAGTGGTGCTCGTCACAGCTGGTATAAGTTAAGAGCAGGAATGCGATTATTATCAAGAGAAAAGAACACGGTATGTTTGGAGGTAAAGTAAGGCATAATAACCAGTGTCATCCATTTTCAGATCTCTTAGATATCTTAGTCTGGTCCACTGTCTTCTGATTATACCTTCTTACACATTTGGGTATAGAAAAATAAAAATCATTTTTAGTTTATTTTATTCCTTATGTCATTGTTAGCACTGCAACAATTACAATATACATTTCATCTCAGATACGTAGTGTTGTACTACAGATACGCTACCAGTGAAATAAGCTTTTGTGGAAAGACCTCTGGGTACAAACTGTCATTAGTATCATTCCTAAGGGAAAAGTGGCACCGGTTCTAACTCACCTGCATGAGTACATTTGGGGGATGTAACCAGGTACTTGAGGACTACTTAATCATTATTTCTCTTAACCACACTTCTGTTCATGGAAAAAAAGATTGGCTATCTTAAAATCATCTATGTACTACTAGAGTGCCTCCTCAGTTAGTTTCAATAATAAATTAAAATGGAAATCATAGAAAAACTCAGAGTCTTCTGAAACTAAGAATATGCATAAGTAAGGATTTTGAAATGACAGATCGGTTTGATCACTTCTACGTTTATGACACTGTCTCGTACACAGAGTTCACTACTTTTAAACAGTATGTTTATTCTGAGGGACAGCTGAATGCAGAGCGTTGAGGCCTTTCCCTGGTTCAAGTTGGTGGTCCCATGTGACCCAGGACAGCCCCTTCACTCTGTCCGTTTTCTCACATGTGTACTTGAAGTGTGATGGCTTTGGCTGGTGAAACATATTATCTGTTTTAAGACTGGGAAACAGCAGTCAGAAAAATGTTTAAAAAGAAAAGACTATTAGATTTTCCTGTTAGCAGAATTTTAGAAGTACTGGGTCTTCATGAAGTCATTTCAGTCTTTGTTCTCTGCTGACCTGGTGTTACATCTTTTTAAATAATGGTTATTTAATAACCCTTTAAATTCATTCCTCATTTATAATCTCAGGGTAAAATCTCTTCTTGGCTAGAGTTTTAGTATGTAGTCTGAAACTTACTGTACCATAGATGGGAAGCTAAAGGCCGCTGGTAAGTGTGAAGTCATGGCAAGGGGTCTTGTACATCATGAGGATGTTCTTATTCATCTAAAATGCATTATCTTTTGACACAATTTTGTGTTTATAAAATGACCTTGAATGTGCAGATATGGTAAGGGTATTGTTGCCAAAGAGATACAAATAGAGATTATAATTTTTCTATTAGGGTCCACATATGTAACAGAATTCCTAAGCTTAATATAGTCAGCAGCATTTGAAATAGGACTTGGCATGACTTTTAAAAAAATGTATTTATGCCCAACTTTGAGACACGAAAGCATACATAGAATAAAATGATAAAGTATAAATTTTAAAAAATCATCAAGATCTGAGGAAAGATAAAACAGAGCCCTTGGGGTTTGGCAGCGTTGCCTCAGTAGCCACCCTGGGGATGAGATGAGTAAGCGGGCCCGTCAGGAGGGCCTTTGCATCCTGTAGCCCACCACATCAACCGAAGACGCCCCGCTTTCATCTCGGGCCTGTGTTGGGCGCTCATCGAAGACTTCATTGGGTGGAGTAAGGGGGGTTCTAGTGCTAACATACAGCTTGGGAACAGCAGCCCTGACAGATGCAAATTTTACCTGTTAGACAAAATACTTGGAATACCAAATACATTAGACCAGCTCATAGTAAAAAGTTAACTCTATGAAGTCAGCTTCCTTATAGCCCTGTCTGTGTTGGGATGTCAGAGTGTGTAGTCATCCCGAGACAGAGGGGAGCACTTGGAATACACTGTTTTCGGGGGCAAGGGGAAGGGAGAGATAACTTAGGAATTTGGGATTTGCAGATACAAGCTACTATATAAAAAATAAACACCAAGAACGTACAGTATAGCTTAGTATATCAATTTTTGTAATAACCTATAATGAAAAAGAATATTTATAACTGAGTCACTATGCTATACACCAGAAACTAACACAACATTGTAAATCAATTATACTTCAATCAATCAAATAAATAAATAAATAAATAAATAAATAAATAAATAAATACACTATTTTTTAGGTTGGGTTCTCCTCAACCAAAAGTTTTTCTTAGGAACTCTGTGCATATTGGAGGAAAAGATAAAACTCTTTTATCTTTTTATTAAAGTATAATATAATTTTCATACTTGTTGGTGATGTTCAAATAACATCTTTCTATACATATTATAACGATGAGCCCGCTCCCTGCCTGCCCCACCACCTGCCCAGCACTTTGGGCTGAAGCGAACTGACTGGTTAAAATGGAGAACAGATGATGGAAAACAACTTTGAGTTTTCTGAAACTGCACACACTCTTACCTTGGATAAAGGAACCAAGACCAAGAAATATGGAAAAATTACATCATTTTAAACACATTTCTGACAGTGTTTCTCAGATTCCTTTTAAAAAGTCTTGTATGTTCAGAGGATAATGTGGGTGGAGGTGGGCACACAGGGCCAACGTGAAATCTTAGGTAGAGAAATCTTAGGTAGAGAATGCGTTGTTGGCAGGTCCCTGCTGTTTGACGTGGACTCTGAGTCGGTGTGTTTATACCCTTCTGAAGAAGGGGGTTTTGTTTTTGGTGAGACTTCTGTGGCAAAGAAAACGGTCTTTAAAGTTATCGATGTCGTGCCTGGAACATGGTAAGCAGTCCATACACGTTAGCGTCCTCTCTGCTCATCTTGCTCCTTTGTTTTTTACCAGCATGCTTTTTGTTTTCCATCTTGTAATATAATGTTCGTATTCAACCTTGAGAACTGAGTTTTTCAGCTTCTGTGGCTTGAGCTTTTGTCTCCAGTGGAGACAGAGATGCGGATGGGGAAGAGAGGCCAGGTGAACCCAGACAGGCTCTCCTTTTCTCTGGAGTTGAAGCCTCAGGACTGAGGCAGTGTTAGCATCCTTATTGCTCCTGATCTCAGCAGGAGTCAGACAAAATAACTGAATGAAAAGAGAAGATGGCAGCAGCTGTACTTAACTGTTCAGTTCCACTGACAGGAAAAAACATCCACCAAGTTTTAAGTATTTTAAGAAAAACCTCAAATACTTGTTTAACATGCAGATTCCTGGGCTACACCTCAGAGATTCTGAGTCAACCTTAGGTCGTTCTGATGCACGTGGTCTATGAACTGCATGTTGAAAACCCCTAATTCCAAGAAGATCAGTTACACTATTGCTCCATTATTCTGGGTTTTTAATTTCTTGGTCGATCATCAGTATAGCATAAAGATTACATTTCTTTTGAGAATCTTTACCACTCCTTGGTAATTCTGAGCCTCAAACCATGGCTCAGAATTCTTGGCTTAAAAATATGCCTACTGTGCCCATACTTCTGTATAACTCTCAGGCAGTCATGTAACAGAAAGACTTTGGCAGTGGTGTGAGATTTATTTGCAAATTGCAGTGTCGACATAATTCTTTCTTCATTGACATTGCCTGGTGAGGGAGTCCTATCTCACTGTGGTTTGTCCTCCCCGTGGTTTCCGTAGTGTTAGGGAGAATGCTACAGAAAAACGAACCCTGTCTAGTTTTGACTCACTCAGATGTGGTGTGTCTTTTCGTCTTTCGTCTTTTGTCTTTCTGAGATGGGATATGAGAGGCATGCCCCGAAGGCGGCAAATCAGACTTCCACACGCGTTGCCTTCACTTAGCCAATAGCTTGCTCAGAACGTGTATATTATGATGTGCAGTTTCATTCATCAAGGGGATTTTGGGCTCCAGCAGCAAATATCCTTGAGTCTTGGGTGACTCCTGGACTTTGGGCTTTGAACTGACTCCTCCATAGACGCAAGAAGGGCATCTGGCTGTGAGAAGAATGAATGGGAACCGAGGTAAGGAGAGATTAGAGAAATCATTCCCTTTCTTTTTGTTTGGGTAGATTTGAGATTTTAGAAAAATTAGTTCTCTGTTTGAGAAGAACTCAGAACTATTTGTCATGAGTTTTTCCCTCTGCTTTATAGTATTACCCTGTGTATCATCATCCCTTTGATGTGAAATCCACCCTCGTCAAAATGTAGTTTCATTTTCAAATATTTAAGTATAGGATTCCGTTTTTCTTTCTGTGCCTGAAATTTTTAAAAAGGAATATCTATAGTTGCTAAGATACTAATTACACATGGGTTCCTCGTTCAGAACTGAAGTCTTGTATATTTTAGGAAGGACGCTTTAAAAGTTGGGTAGGGAAAGATCGGTGTTTGCATTTGATTTATGAAACAGTGATGTTACAAGTGTGTCCGACTTTTTCCGATATTAAAGGTCAGATTTTTGAGACATGCTGCTTAACTTGTTCTGAGGAAGGAGCTCTGAGGTCTCTCCCCCTGCCGCTCCTCCAGGTTTTCTGCTGGGGGGACCAGCTCTGTCTCTCCTCAGGCAGGGGGTTCAGTCTGTGTACATTCAGTGCCGTGGCATTTTTCTTGAAGAAGTGACTAAGGCTTCTTGGATGAATTCTCTCTTTGAAAGAGGTGGTAGGATTGCATCAGAAAGGCATTTACAGTAAATGGCTCCCCCTCCTTCCTGTAATGACCACAAATGAAAGAATGCATTAATTCTTGTTTTGAGGAAATAAGAGTTGTAGAGTGCTATAAAAAAACTCCCTTGTCATCATTAATTAACTGGATTTGAATGTTAAAAAATTCTACAATCAGAATGACTTCATGCTATCTAAATAAATGTCGCAGAGATACAGCTTTTTACGCTGTATTCTACATGAAGTAACCAATTATCTTGAATTCAAAAAGAGGAAATAATGTTGAATATGGCTATAGTTAATGGCATAAATCTAGACTAATTTCCTCGGAGTCATCTTCCATGTTACATTGATGCCCTTCTAAGGTATGTTGCTGACTTTGTCCTTCAGGATTTGATTCTTTGTCGTGGACCACGGAGGCTGGGAGTAAAACTCCCATAGGTCATCACCCAGGAGTTCTCATGGGAACAGTGCCGCCCCCTGGAGGGCATAGTAGAAATTTGGGGTGATGTTGAGCTCTACAATGAAGGGTGCTGAAAGGGTGGGAGTCAGATTTTAAACGTCCCACAGTGGAAAACACAAAGAATTGTCCTGTGTCCCACACACATTTCAACTATCCTCTTGGGTATTTATGTAGTGAAAGTTAATTTATAACTATCCGAGCCTAGACCTAAATTCATTTTACATAAAAACACAAAGATAACTGTCATGCACTTTTAATAAAACAACATACTCAGTTTCATTCTGTGGTCCAGCTATATACCTCTCCTTTTTGGTTTTCTTGTACTTTCAATATGGAAAACTTATGATTTGACTTCTCTTTCCCCAGGTTTCTTCTTTTAAGTAAGTGAAAAGCATTTACTTCATTTCATAGTTAATTGGATCTGAAAATTACTTGCATATTGAAATATGTAGTATTGTTATAGATTGCTCTTTCTTCTTGTTTCTCCTTTACGTTAACATTTACAGTGTTATGTTGATGTTTTTAAAATTATGTGTATACTGGTTAATACTTACCAATGAATTTTATCTCAGAATAGTAAATAGGGCATTACAGAATATTTTGGTTATAAAAAGAAGGCTTTGAGACT